GAGGTTGATCTAACTCCAATAGATCACGAAATTGAAAGGACATTCAAAAACCGCAGAAGAAGACAACGTCAAGCAAGGAGAATGGATGATAATCAGAATCAACCACAGAATCAGGCTCAGGGTCAAGTGCACAATCAACTCCCGCAGCCAAATCAACATAGAACCATCCAGAATAAAGCTCCCATTTTAGTTGGGGATTATGTGAATCCAATCCCTCTCCCAGTATAACCCGTATTGGTCTATCCACCCTTCGAACAACCTAACTTCTACCTCAGACCCAATGTCATAAATCTTTTTCAAAATCATCAAGACATCAGGTTTTTTGGGAAATTTATGGAGGACCCTCATGAACACATTTCAGCATTTTTCATGATATTAGCAGATGCATCCCGAATGTGATTAATTTCCTCATACTTTGAAGGATGCTTCAAGGGCATGGTTCCTCTGTTTACCTCCAATGAGTATACAATCATGGAATGATATGGTTCAAAAATTCACCATGAAATTCTTCCCACCTTCTCGAGTTTACCAAATCAGGAATGAAATCCACACATTCAAGCAGAAAGAACTCGAGAGCTATGCTGAAGCATGGGAGAGGTTTAAGAATCTGTTTAGAAAATGCCCTAGCCTGGACATTCCAAAAGAGGCTAAACAATATCTCTTCTATAACGGGCTACACCAAGAGTTTAGAAATATGATAAATGCTTCATCAGGAGGATCAGTGATGAAACTTGACTTCAATGATGCCTATGAATTGTATGAAAGTATAGGCGAGAATCAATCGATCTGGCCAACTGATAGGGAAGCTCCAAGGAAAATAGCTGGTGTGCACAACGTAGATGCAATGACAGTATTGGCGGCACAAATGGAGGTTCTTACAAGGAAAATGGAAAATCTATCTTAATTAGTCAACATGGTACACCAATCACCACCTGTGTATGAAGGTTGTGGAACAGACCACATTATTACACGTTGCCCTTTGGCATCTACGCAAGTTTCGCAACCCGAAGAGATTAGCT